GCACCTCCCGATTGTCCCCACTGCCACTGCACATGGATGACAGCAGACCTGCATCTCCCCTGTCAGGGTTGCTGGGGTGCCCTCTGGACGTTTGCTGTCAGAACATTCACTGCTGTTCGGCTTGCTCAACAGGATGTCAGCAATGGTTATGAGACACCTCTAGACAGTGTGCAACATAACAGCTGGTCACAGCACGATCCCGGCTGACTGGTAATAGTATCTGCTTGCATTCAGGCACCTGATCAGGACGCTTCAACATTTGAAAACCGCATTCCTAGCATTCTTTGGAATAGGCAAAGGCCATCAGTTGAAACACTGGTTTGAAAGCGGAGCTCATGTGATAGAAAAATGCCAAGTGGCTGCCTAGGATTCTCTAGAATAATGTAGATGTCTCTGCCTGTGAATAAATTACGTCAAGAAGGTCCAGAGTTATTTTGCCCATTACTGTGTCACAGGGTCTACAACTGCTTGAAACATAGTAAGAGGCTCAGATGGTCACTGCATGGATGGCTATTATTTAATTTGGTGCGAGGGAGGTGACCTAAAAGCATGTTGGGAGGGAGGGAAGAAAGCACAGGAGACACAGAGAAACCTGTTCCCCTTGGCTTCTCCTGCGCCAGGTGGCAGAGGAGAGAGGACAGGAGTGAGTGTGGCCTTGTTGTTGTCCTCCCGGCCTGTGAGCGCTGGGACGGCTGACAGTGTGGGAGCGCGTGCAGGACGCCTTGGCCGGCGAGAGGTCGTGGAAGTGCGAGCTGTTCACAGCCTTCCCAGTGAGGGGAGCAGGGGAACGGTTTTTATCTTTACGAGACGTTTCATTGAGGCTATTGGACTAGGGTGGAGTGAAGGTGGGCTGGGGCCGGCGACCCAGAAAAGGGACCGGAGGACAAATGGAAAACTTTATGTTGGTGAATTTTTACTTCCAAACATTTGAAAATAGTCTCCCTTTGGTGTGGTTATTATATACAGCTGTTTTAATTGAAGGATGTGTTTATTTGCTTGATGTTTCCTAGAACTAACGTGCTCCCTGGATACCTGTAACATAAGCACTGGTTACCCCAGAGGGGAGCGTTTTTTGTCCCCAGGGGAATACACAGCAGTGTCTGAGGACATTTTTCTTTGTCACACTGGCGGGACAAGCCACTGGTGCCAGTGGGTACAGACCAGTGCTGCTGGTAACCGTCGTACAAGTGCACAAGATGCCCCAGAGCACAAGTGATCTGTCCAAATGTCAGTGGGGTTGATGTGGACCAAGCATGAGCTTCCAACCATTTTCGTCAACTTCTCATCATTTTTCTCAAATCCATCATTTGAATTTAGGGACAAATATTCTTGTTGATTCTCAAGTGTGGTAGCATTGGAATCACCGAGGTGCTTTTAGGAAAGACTATGATGCCCAAGTCACGGCAGAGCAAGTAAGTGAAGATGCCTGGTGTCGGGGACCCGGTATCTGCCTTTTAAATCCCTCATCCTCACCGTCCATTGAGCAGCCCTCATTTACATGGTGTAACACAGGGCATCAAAAGCACCCATAGTCGGTTTACCCGACCTGCATTAAGAATATCTACAAGTAAAATGGTACAGCCTTCCGACTCACGTGAGAATGTGACAGCTGCCACTTCTCCCTGGCTTCCCACGCATTTGCTTTTGTTTCGGAAAAGATTTTCTTTCACTTAAATAAGGGAAAATGTGCATTAAAAAGTGTTTCAGAAAGTTAGTTCTGGGATAGAATAAAAGTATTTACTGCTTGCTTAACTTCTAAGTCTGTTTCTTTATGGGAAACACTTCAGTGGCTTACCAGGGATGCCCCATCATCTCTTTTTAAGAATATGCCATGCTAGTACTGTGCCAGGCAACAAGTCTAGGTAAAAGACCATTGTAATTTCTCTGTAAATAAAGACTGAGACATAAGGCACGCATGGATGGGTAATTTGAAAATAAACTTTGAGAATAGTGTGCTTTAGATTTAAATATTCTGGCTTGGGGTTTGATTATTCATTTAGTTATTGCTTTTCCTTAAGTAGAAAATGTTCTGTTTTTGTTGTTCTTTCTCTTCTATGCTCAAGACTTTTGCAGAGGTAGTTATGCAATGTGAGAACCAGGGGGCGGATGGTCTGACTCTGAGAGCCCAAGAACCAGGAGCTTGGACGTCTGCAGGCAGGAGATCTTGTCTTCCTCAGGCGGAGAGCAAATGCATTCTTCCCCTGCCTTTTTGTTCCACTGGGGCCTCCTATGGCTGGGCTGAGGCCTGCCCTCCTGGTGAGGCCTGCCTGTATCCAGTCTACTGATGCAAATGCTCATCTCCTCCAGAAACACCCTCAGAAACACTCCCAGAAACCACATTGTACCAGCTCTGTGGGCATCCCTTAGTACTCAAATGGAACCTAAAATTATCCGTCACATTTCAGTTATCATATGAAAAGTGGCCTCTCCGTAGCAATGAAGAAAATCACGTTTGAAAAGAGTCTTTCCTAAAACTCACCAAGTAACTGAAAAGGTAGCTAAGTCTAACAAATGTGGGGAAAACAATGTAATAGTGTCAAAGTAACAGAACAACCTCAAATGGCCAGTAGAGGTGAAGCTTTAGGTCAGTGTAGTAATAGATGGACATAGTTATAGACTAGGAACATACCTTTCTATAGTGCTGCATGACTGAAAACTTGCCCCCAATTACAGGTCTGGATTTCCCAGACCTCACCACCCCGTGGATCTGAGGAAGGCCGTGTGATTATAGTAGCTATTTGTCAGGCTCGTAAGGGTTTCCCATCTCTGATCTCCTGTGGTTCCTGTTTTGTGCTCGCACTTGCTTGCTTTGTGATCTCAGCCCATGTTTTTGGATGTCACCTATGATAATTGTCAGAGCTGTGTCTCCTGGGAGAGTGCAGATCTGAAGAGCAAGATGTCGCCTTAATATTAAAAAGAAAGACAGTCCCAACGTGGTCACTTCTGCTGCGCCAAGTCACCAAACCGGGGCTAAATACCTAACCTAATGGTAGTTTCGACCTCCCCCAGAAATGTAGTCGGTCAGGAATTTCCTGGTCAGCGTGGATGAGATAATGTCCCGTATGCTCTCTCCATCCCCAAAAGGCGAGGTCACCCACCCGGAGCCCCTTACCCTTGTCTCATCTCCCATAGATGGCACTGGGATGGCTATAGCATGATCTTTCAGCACACCGACCACACGTACCCACAGCACACTGCTTTGTGTGCTGATGAGTGTAACCTTTCTGCACACACCCCCTGCTGTAGAAGAGCTTTTAAGATATCTCCAAACCAAGGGGACTTAGAGCAGTTTATCAAAGCACACAGATGGACCGTTCTCGGCCGTGGCCCTCAGGGAGACTATCTGTAAACTCTGTCTTTCTTAAATAGAACCATGTGTTGATTTAAGTTGACACCTATCCGTAGGTCCATGGAAGACCGTATTATTGACAATGGACTCTAGGTTCTGGTTGCTTAGCCACGGAGTTCTCATGTTCTCCCAGGAGTCAGTTCCTCTTAGACTTTTAGCCTTCTAATTTCTTCTGACAGTGACATATTATGAGGTATTTGAGGCAGTTTCTACAAAGTCTGGAGCTATTGTATCCTCAAGGTCAACTTTCCTCAGTCATCTGTACACTACCTATTTTCCCTTATCATCTCCAGGAACATCATTTTGATTTGTAAGCCCTATTTGTCTCTGACTTTGCATCCAGAGAGAACTGATTTTTGACTCATTCTGTCAACAAAGAATACATTTAATATTTGCCATACAAGCCTTGCAAACGGAATTGCTTCTTAGATAAACATGTAGTGTCTGGTACTCTTATTTTCATTGCATTATATTTTTAAATCAAACTGCAGGAACATGGAGTTGCATAAATTATAGTCCCTGGTCCATAACATTTCATTATTGTTCCAGATATGGTCCATTTTACTAGCTATTCAACAAGCTGTTTAATTGGTTACTATTACTGGTGTAATGGACACCAGCCATCCCATTCCCAGCAACGAAAGCTTGGTCTTTCCCAATCAACCATTTCTGCTTTCTCCACCATGACCCTGTAATCTGTGTCAACTCTGCCCATTTCTTTTTTGTACAGATTTATTGCAGATATATGCTTACTAATAACTACATTTAAAAAATTCTAGCTGTGGTTAACTTTGTAAAAAGGCTATCTGCCATATATATATATATTCTGTGGCAGTTGTTGTCACTTCCTGTTATATTACTAAGGTGGATCCTAACACATGCACCTCAGTGATTAGTAAACATTTTGACAGCTGTATACTATTTCATATGTGAATACACCAGAGTTTATGCATCTGCTCTCCTACTGATCAGACTGTTGGTTTCAAAGTCTTGCTAACATGAGCTTGTCTGTCTGTGGTTTTGATCATACACATGCAGTAGTTTCTCTTGGGCTGCACGGAAGTGGAATTCAGGATCATCAGCCATCTGAGTGGTCGGTTGTTTAGAGGGGATGTTGGACCCTTGTCCACAGCCATTGCCTCAATTTCTGCCCCCACGGGCAATGCATAAAAGCTGGGGTGCAGCCATCTACCCTCCCAGAGGTAGGATGGCCAGCCTTTCAATTGTAGCCAAGAGAAAGGGTATAAAATAATGTGCACTGTGGTCTTACTTTAGATATTTTTTTTTCCCCTGGACACCAGTGAAGTGGAACATCCATTCTTATGTCTTTTAGAAATATGTGTTTTCTCATCTGTCCATGCCTTTTCACAATTTTTGCTTATTTTTCTATTGGCCTGTTTGTGCTCTTTTTTTTACTGACTTGTAGGAATTCATGCACTAGTCCTCATTCTCATATTTTGTCAGTTGTGTTCACTGTGGAAATATTTTCTTCCACCTTGTAATGAGGCTCTTAGGATGTTTTTGATGAACAATATGTCTTAATACAACCAAGTAGATTTTTTCAGTTAATGCTTTCTGTGTTTTATTTAAGAAATCTCTCTCTAGTCCTGGATTATCTTTGATCTAACTTCTGATTTGTTCTCTATGTCAGATAATGGCTTGAGGACTTCCTCCCTCCCTTCCCTGGACCCAATCCAGGTTTTGCTGGATGGTAAAGCAATATGGCCTCTGAATCTTCGAGCTTGAAGATGTTCCGCCTGGGCCTGCGCTTCAGGCCCCAGTTCCGGCTCTGAGTCTGGAGAGAAATGGCACTGCCCCCTGCAGGCAGCTGTAACCAGGGCCGCTGCGGTAAGTCAGCCAAACTGCATGCTGGGAGCAGGAAGAAGGGCGTGGTCTGACCAGTCCCATTTTTCCAGGTTTTGATAATTCCAGATAATGCTTACACTATTAGTGAATTCCCATATCATACTTTCAAAATCCTTGCAGAAATAGAGGACCAAACTATTGCTGCATGAAACATCTTGAATTCAGAAGCATTATACTAAATGCAAAAAAAAGGACAGAAATGGAAGGACAGAGATCAGAGCATGGGTGGCCAGAGGCTGGAGGTAGGGCAGCACATTGATGCCCTAGAGCAGGAGACAGCTATTTATGGTGAGGGAGCCATTCCGCATGACAATGGTCCTGCCTAATTTAAGATTCACCAAATTTACATTTAAAATATGTGAGTTTTATTTTATGCAAGATAATTCTGTTTTAAGAAACACTTACCTCAATAGAGCTAACTAGAAAAGTAAAGAGTTAAATAAGAAAAAAATGTATAATTTAACTCCCTACCATGTAGTATGTATGATTCAGCAAACACTGACAAATTTTAAAGAGGGTGTTTAAAATCAGGTACAGTGTTTGATCGGGTGTAGTAAAATGGCTCTGGGGCTCACATCTGCTGTGTGAGGCCTTTTTGGATAAAACGCAGATTTTAATGCTTATCTCGGGTCCTCCTCAGAGGTGAATGGATGGTAGGTGCCCGGATATCTGCTTTTCTCTTAGGTTTGTCATTATTTATATATCACCAATGCCATTTTTGTCAAATAGCCTTTCTGATAAATCATTTTGGAAAGTGGACTTGGTTTTCACTTTCAGAAACTGATGTCCATTTCGTAAGTCATCAAAAAGTCATTTTTTAGTGTTCCATTAATGGGAAGAGACTCTTCTTAACTACAAGGTGCCTCGCTCGAATGCAGCAGCTCCTGGTTGGGAGGAATTTTGCTCCCCAGGGAATATGTGGTAATATCTGGGGATGTTTGTGTGAGTTATGACTGTTGGGGACAGCAGAGGCTGTCCTATAGCCCCAAATGTTAATAGTGCCTAGGCTGAGAAACCCTGCTGAAAGCATATACCAAGCCGAAGGGTAATCAAAGACCATTTGTATTACAAAGCCGCCGGTCAGTGCTGTATTTACCTTGCCAACGTTAAGCACTCCGTATTTATTGAAGGTCTGTACCCAGGCCTTTTAAATATTACCTCAAAATAATCCTGGGTGATTGTTTCTATTACCATCTCTGTTTCGCAAGGGGGAAGTACAGAGATTCAAAGAAGTGGAGGAATTTGCCTTAAGCAGTCCATCCCTCATTGCTGCAACTGAGGTGTCAACACTGGGTTGATTCCAGATTCACCCTTTTCAGGCTTCAAACTGTGTATCACCTCGTCATCCAGACCTGGCTATCATTTCAGTTGATTTTCTTGATGGTTGGGGAAGATACAACTTCTATCTAGGATTAAAAGTCTTTGGTATTTAATAAAGAGCATATGCAGCTGGTTCTAGGAAAACAGGAAGGGGTTTAGGTCACTTTCCATTTCTTCCATCGTGCATAACCCCAGGAAGCAATAATTCAGCCCGGGATATGCTGCATTAGTAATAGGAAAGAGTGAAGCGACAGTCCAAAGACCCTCTTGTCCTAGCTGGCTCTTTCTTACGTAACCGTGGCCCAGGCACAAGTCAGCTTGTGTGGTTATTCCCCACTGAACGTTTTTCAGGCATGGTCCTGACATGTAGGAGCACATTAGGAATATCTAGAGGTTGGAAATAAATTTCTCTCAGATGATGTTGCCTGACTGTAATGGTCCAAAACGGTAGCTGCTTCTTATTTTCAGGAGAAGAAAAATAAATGGGTTGAATACATGTCCATTCCTTCCCTCAAGTTCTTTTTGAGCATAAAAGTTGCTACAATGTCAGCATTGTACTGATGCAATATCCAGAAGGACTCCGGGAAAAATATTCCCAGTAGGAATCCGTTTCAACAGTGGGGAAATCCCAGGTGCCATCTTTGGTATTTAACTGTTGCCCACGTGTGCCCGGGGGAAACACAGATTGCTGAGAAAACAGAGCGAAGTGAGCTCCTGGCCTTGGGCCACCTCCTCTGGAACTCAAAGTCAACCTTTGTGGGAAAAGGAGTGTGGGTGTATAAAGAAGGGGTCAACACTGGGGGTACAGCATTTGGATGGAGAAGAGAAGGGAAGAGAATGACCTTTGATCTCTGACCCCTTGGAACACCCAAAATTCATTCGGAAAGTAGAATAAATATTCTCCAGCTAGTTCCAATGAATTCATGCCACCCTCATCGGTGCCACCATGCTCCCCTCTGGTTCTTAAATGTGTTTATCTTAATCTCTTGACTGTGGTTCGTCTTGTCTAAAGTGGCCAGGGAGCGTTGAAAGGCACTCTCTGGATCTGCTGTTTGCCTACACTGCAGATAAAGCCTGCCCACTTTCTTTGCTGTAGTTTCCCCTGCTGGATTTTTTTCATATATTCTCATATGTTATGAAATCTTAAGAAGCAGTGTGTGAGCTGCAAAGGTGCTCTGCACAGAAGCGAATCTAACTCACACAGTGAGCCTTAGCCATTTCAGTTTGGTAGCAAATAGTTTGAGAAGTGTTTAAAAGCTAGGAAAAAAGTCAGTTTTTTGGTACTCACGTCTCTAATTCAGTTCAGTGTGATTGCATTTACACAGGAAAGACTTCCTATGTTTAAATCCACACTAGAATGAATCTAGGTGATATTAATGGACAACACTACGTGATTATCCCAGTCAGATTCATGGTTTAGAATTGACAATTCAGTCTTAAAATTAGGTCATGGCAAATGGGGAGCTGTTGGCTTTCCACGCAGTTTACCCACATGGCCAGCATGTGGCGCTGTTTCCTGCTAAAAGCTGCCTTTTCTACTTTTCAGAGGCTTCTCTCCAAATCTGTGGTATTTACAGGGCTCAGCGTCAATGTCCAAGGGCTTGAAAACAGCAAAGGAGAAAAATGCACTGAAGTCATCAAACAGAATAGAATTTCGGTATTACTGCTGAGCACCTACGGGTTTCTTTTCACGTTTAGAAATGAAAATCAGAGTAAAAGTATGGTTGTTTGAGATTTATTTTTAAAAAGCTGAAAATGTCTGTTTGCAATATTTTAAATAGAAATTTTACTGAAAAATGCAATAGTCATTTCTCATGAGAAGTAGGGCATTCAGACATGAGAAATGAGGGTTTCTAAAGATATATCATTTAAGATTTAGTTAAAATTATATAAACTTCTATTTCTTTTATGCTTCTCAAAGTGTATGTTTGGGGCTTACCAGAAATACTTTGGTCATGTCAAGAATCAAATTATTCAAGATACTTGTTATATTTTAAAGAGTTCCTGCATTTCACCACTAAGGACTATTTCTCTTATGGCTGTTTGTACGTTCTTCAGTATCTACAAAGCTGTAGTTCAACAAAGTCGATATGAGAACCCTGACTCTGTGGTTGACTCTGTATGTATGCAGTGTTGTTAACATTAGAATTAGGCTAAAATCAGCTAATTGCCCAGTCGTTGGGACAAATGTTCAGTCTTACTGGCATCAGACATCCCTTGAAACCATTAAGTTCCCAAAACCCATTGTTTCTTGCCTGGCCTGGCAGCTGTGATGGTCAGTAAGACACTAAATGGACAGAGGCCATCAAACGTGCTAATGTTAACAATTCCCCGAGGCAGGGGTCCCCGGAGGGAAAAAGCGTTCACTGTAGAAAATTCCCATTGCCATCCAATTCCGCCTTGAAACAGGAAAACGCACACTCTGATAGATGGTATTTTTTAGCAGTTATTTTAAGTTTTAGTAATTATTGCAGTGCCAGCATGAAACTTTAGTGGTGACTTATTCTAGAACAGAGGCTCTTAGCATGGCTGCAGAACTGGTACCAAATTTAACACTGGATGAATGGGGGGTGATGGTGACTTTGGGGGAGTTGAGGGAAAAGGGCAGGGAGAGAAGCTCTTGAGAGAAAGTAGAAGCTAGAAATTGTGCTGCTTGACAATTCTTTGTACAATGGCCAAAAAGTTCTAAAATGTCATTAAATTATTTAGCACACAAAATAGCAAACACATTCTGATGCTTCATTGTAAAATCTTAGGAAATATCAAGGTGATTGACAAATTAATGCCCTTAAGTATGTATGTGTTCGGCAGCTGGAGTTTTATAATCTTACTGAAGAGGAAAATGTGTTGCATGCTTAAATTATCCCCAGGTGGGATGCCTACATGGCAAGATGAGAACAAAAAAGCAGATGATTGCAAACACATGTGGGTGGGTTTGTTTTTTTCAAAAAAGTAGAGTGTATTCAGTAAACCTATGCAAAAAAGTTGCCATTTGCCATTTCCCTTTATAAAATAACTTAAATCGGCATCAGGTGCAGTACCACGGGGGCTCACCCCGTTTTTGCCTAAAGTCCTATGATAAAGCTGCACAAGTGACATTTATCCCTTCTGTTGTTAATTGCATCCCATTCCCCATTTCACTATTTGTTTTTCCTCTTAATAGCTCTGGCCGTGCCCTGGATGGTGCAATTCAAAGCTGAGCAGGAGAGAATGACGTCTGGAGGAGGAGGGAAGCAGAGTTAAAGAAGAGGTCCACACGCGCCTTGCTGCGCAATCCCGACCCCGTCGCCTGGAAAGGTATAGGTGAGCATGGGCCACCGTGTCCCTAGAGCCAATGAATGGGGCCTGCCCGCCTCACTCTGACTTAGGGCCTGGTCTCAGTCTGCTTTTCCAAGAGGGGCATGTCAGAAAAACGTGATGCCTGCCTCCTTCATTGTTTACCCTTACTAAACGTGGCCAAAACACTTCTAAAACAACAAGGTGCTAGCTAATCTAAAAAAATCAAGGAGTCTAACAGGATCTAGGCTAAATGTACTGGAACAAGAAATACCAGTGTGATGAGGAAGTGGGTTGGTATGTCCGAGCCATGTCAACACCTACTTTAGAAAAGGTGCTTTCAACAAGATGAAGTTCATAGGTGCTTCATGGCATCTATGCCAAAGCTTCTGGCCTCTTTTTAGCGGGAATACATGTCTTCTGAATCAGTTGTTTCTCCAACCTGTCCCCAAATCAGTTGCTCTGACCTGTCCCCTGATTCAGTTTGTTTAGGAGTTGGGGTTCAGGCGCTGTGCTGCAGACATACTGATGCAGAATCTCTGAATGTGGGTCCTGGAGTATATACCCTTAGCAAGCTTCCCTGGGGGTCTTTGTTCTCTGCTAAAAAAAAAAGCAGCAGCTAATAACTGAAACAAATCGCAAAGAAGAGCATAGCTAACTTTTTGGAAACTGTGAACGAGGGACACGTTCTGTGTGCTTTTATAACCTGACCAAGAAGGGCCACCCATTTTGGTCTATGCTCATGTGGAGAGAAATGGGAGTCAGGGCCCTTTTCTGCTCTCCCTGATGGATGGGTGTTTGGTCTGTTTAAGTCCAAATGAAGTCAAGTGAACTAAAGTTCATGTCTTCTCCAAATTCAGACCGTGAGGTTCCGGTTGACTTGAGGAAGGACTTACTAAGCACCTTCCTAAGAATGTCCCTGGTTGGCTCCCACCCACCCACGGATCCGCCATTCCTTCTGTACTTCTGCACACGTTTATGTATCTTTTCATGGGCTTGCTCTTCATGAACTGACTGAACTAGTCCTGTAAAAGTTAGAGACTTCCCCTGAGCCAACTCACAGGGCAAGCTGCACAGGAATGGGGGCACACGTGAGCCAAATTAAAACACTCGATTTCCACTGTCATTCTGACTTTCCCAAAATGTTTTCACTTAAAAAATTACTTAACTGCAATTAAAATAAATAGCTTGAAAAATGCCAGCATAATCACACGGGGTGTCTATGATAGTTCTAAGAGGAGAAAACAAGCAAGGGTATTATTTCAACCTTTGCATAATGAAGTAGCCCTGTACATTTAATCCCAAACTTTCAACTGAGTAGATGTTCTCTTTTCTGATTTATCATAAAATGCATTCATTCATACACATGAATATGCTATGGAACCCACAGAAATAGCACCCATGTTGCTTTTTTAAAGAAAAATAGTGATCCCTTTGAACATTTAAAAGCTGTCTTTAAAAGCTCAGCATGCTAGTCCTTAAGATATCACTTTCTAGAATATGCATTTCACAATGTGACATGCAAAGTTATGAATCAAAGATGCCGTAAGAGAACGTAGGTGGGCATATATTCCTTGCCTTGCTGTCATCAGCACCACTTGTTTGCTTGACTTCAAAACTCAAACACGTGCTATGGTGGGGCCTGCCGCAGCTTTTGGAACTGTTCTTGGTCATTCCCAAACGGAAGTGACCACGTTTAGAGGACAATCTCTGAATTCAGATGTCGCTCCTCCATCCCCTTGGCGTCACCATGGTTAGCTTCTTTGCTCATAGGCAAAATTAAATAGGTGTAACACACTTGAAAACTACTTCCATTTTTAATTCTGAACATCTTTTAAGCAAACTGTTGAGCTCAGTGAGTTCACGCTTAAATGTTTCCTGTTTCTAACTCTACAGTTGTATTGTCATGCAACACTACAGATAAAGCCAGCTCCGTAATTTGAACCTTGTTCAAAGGTAAAATCAAGATGGTGAGAGATGAACATTATAGCACATGTGGACCCTAAGATAAGGCTCCCTGTCCTTGTCCAGGTCACACCCCATGAAGCCGGCTCTGCCTACAGAACCTTTTGAAGAGGACAACTCTTTTTTTAACTCACCGAGAAACACCCTAAACAGTTCATTCTCTTGGCCTTGCTGACTTAACTAGGTGAAGAAATATACACATAAAATGATGTACTTGCAAAAGAATCACACACGTAATAGGATAACAGTGGACGGTTGTCACTATAATTTAACAGGAAGATCTCAAAATCGCTGAGTGGTAAATGTGCAGAGGAATGGGGGGGGGGGAAAGGTTGCGAAGTGCAAAGCGCCACAGGCTCCAAGCAGAGGAGTCAGGCTTTGGATGCATGCGAGCAGGACGGGTGCGTGCAGATGCTGTGGCTGGCTTACCTGCGTGCCTGAGGAGGCCCGATGTGGTGGAATTTGTGAGTGCGGCTCTGTATGAGAGTGCCAGGGCTCGGGGACACCAGTCAGTTGTTCCACGTGCCACCCGGAGCCAGAGCGAGTCTGCTTGGCTCTGTTGTGTTGTGTAACTGCTCCCAAGCCCAAAGCACAGCCTTCGGATCACATCTCAGCTCGCCCCAGGGTCTCCCCACCTGCACCAGCTCTCCCCAGGGTCTCCCCCTGCAAGGCGCCTGCAGCTGTCCCTTCCCACAGAGCTCAGGGAGGTACGGGGCTTTGTTACAGGCGCTGTATTACTGATGCCTCTTTCTCTGCCGTGGTCCTGCGTGGGGAGCAGAACCTGAGGCCAAGGAGCCTCTGGAAAAGATGACAAGCGACAAGGGGGTGATTTCACTGCTAAAAGGCCTGGATCGAGAGGCTTGGGGCAAATGTAAATACAGGAAAAGAATTTCAGGACCAGCTGACTCACACTACAGGAACAGACACCGGTGTGTGGCTCTGTTCAACAAATGTCAGTAGCCATGTGCTCAGATCATTTTCCAGGTGATCAGAAGCAAAGAAGGGGAAGACAGAGGGAAGGAGGGAGGGCGCAGCTAGGAGGGCAGCAGGGCAGGAGGGGGAGGATGTCAGACGTCAGTGCCTGCCGGCGTCTCCTCCTGCGCCCACTTCAGTTCTGGTGCTCAGCTCGTCTCCCTTACGCACCTGGGAGAAGGGAAACTCAAATACGAGGGAGTACGGGGGAAGCGCAGCCCCGGGTGGAAGCTGGGGAGGAAGCCGGCAGCTCAGGGCGCTGGGTCCCGCCTCAGGCAGCCCTGGCGCCCCGGGGACCCTCCCGGACGGCGCCTGTCCTCCCGGCCCCGGCAGCGCACACCTGGCTGTCACCTGCCGGCGGGGCGGGGCGGAGGTGGGAGCAGCGCCGGAGGCCCGTGGGGGACCGGGGCGCGCGGGGGGCGGGAGGGCGCGGCGCTCGCTCCCGGCGCCCGGCTCGCCGCCCCTCGGACCTGCCCGCGGCCCTCCGCCCGGCCCCCCTGTCGCTCACTTGCCTCGCAGCCAATGGCGCGGCGCCTGTCACCCTCACCCCGCCCCTCGGGCCGGCGGGGCGCGCGCGGGGGCCGGGGGTGGAGGCTTGAACTTTCCAGCGGAGTTGCGGCGGCCGCGCGTCCCCGGCGCGGAGCTGGAGCCTCGGCCCGCGCCCGCCTGCAGCCATGGTGCCCGGGGCGCCCGGCGCGGCGCTCACCCTGTGCGTGTGGCTGGCCGCCTCGGCGGGCTCCCTGGCGGCCGGGCCCGGCGCGGCGGCGGCGGCGCGGAGGCTGGACGAGGCGCTGGCGGCCGGGAGCGTCCAGCGCGCCCGCTGCGCCTCCAGGTGCCTCAGCCTGCAGATCACGCGCATCTCCGCCTTCTTCCAGCACTTCCAGGTACGCGGCCGCCGCGGGCGCCCCCCTGCTCCCCGAAGGGCGCCGGGCCTGCGCGTCTCCCCCGGCTCCGGCCTTCCGGCGGGAGAGCTCGGGCGCCTTCCCGGGGGAGGGCGGGCGGCTTCGGGGATTCCGAGGGGGCTGTGCCCGTGGGCGCGGTTGCCGGCACTGGCGCGCGCCCCAACTCCGGGCGGCTGGCGAGTCCCGCAAACTCGCGGGCGCTGCGGGGTCCCCGGCACTGCGAGCGAGGCCGCGGGGGACCTGTGCGACGCACCCAGCCCCGCAGGTGCCCGCGGGCTCACACTTGTGTCTCCACCGAGCGCTGCTTCCCCCTCGGCGGGCGGCCTTGCGCCGCGCCGCGGGTTCCAAGCGGACAGGTTGGGGCGGGGGGTGCGTGTGCGCGCCCCAGTTCGCGGGCCCGGGGCTTCCGGGTCCTGCCAGGGAACAGCTCGGGGAGTGAGGAAGAGCTGCGGGGTGACGGGACCGAGGGGCGCTGTTCGCATGCTTCCAGGGGTGCCCAGCTGGAGGGTGAGCGCAGGTGTAGGCGGTGCGAGGAGAAGCGCGCTCGGCGCCTGTGCAGTGTCGCGCCCCTGGGGGACCCCGGGCGGCGAGGACCCCGGCGGGACTGGCGTGGGGACCCGGGGTGCGGGGGGCGCCCTGGACCCAGGGAGTCGCGCCCCGCAGTAGCGCTGCCCAGCGGGCCCTTCCCGCACACGCCCTGCTTCTCTTGTCGGGCACCCGCCTCCCCCTGGCGTTCTCGCTTCCTTCTGTAGATGCTCACCTGTTCGGCGATCAGGTCTCGCCGCAGAGAAAACTGCAGAGGCCGTTAGGAGACGGGGCAGGGGGTGGCGGGCGCTCCTTGCCGGGGTTCTATCTAAGTCGCACGCTCCGCCTTTAAGAAATAAAGGGGCGCCCCCCGCGCCTGGGCAGGGAAGGGGGCCTTCCGAGGGGCCCCGTGGGGGGAAAGCTGCTAGTGGGGCGATTGTAAGGACGGTGGAGTTTGGGACGAATCTCCGTAGCCTCCGGGGATGTTCTTCCTGGCCGGAGAGCGGGGGAAACCTGGCGCCGAGTGGCCCAGGGGGAACCCAAAGTTGGGACCTTCAGAGAGCGAACCAGCTCGCGAAGTTTTGCACGTGCGCGAGGGTGCGGATCCGTTTGCTGTGGGAGAAGCACCGTCTCGTG